TCTGTTTATTCATTCATATTATTTTCCAAGTCAATTCCTTTGATCAGTTGAGTGACAGAGGGAAAGGTCAATTCCTTTTTTCAGAATTGTCAGGTTTAACACGAGTTTCTAACAGACAGAGAACATCTACTTTGAAAAGATTAGCTTTATTCATAACTTTTTTCTGTTTGTGAGGATTGTTGAATCCTCTAATATTCCAAAAACAAATTAACATTCAATTTGTGTTCAGATTCTTTATATTTGATTTGAGGTAATGTTTCGGTATGTGTCTGTTTATTCATTCATATTATTTTCCAGGTCATCTTGAAGCATCTATTGTAACACCCCCAACCCGTATCCGACCCGGATACGAGTCTGAAGTGTCACATTGACTTTTCAAACATTTATTCGTATAAAATAGTGAGTAATTTAAAAACTTTGATAACATTTAACTTATTCAAAACGTTTACAAAATATATCAGAGTTCATACAATTTATATCTTTAGACTACATACCAACTACACTCTATAAACATTACATATATTTTCTGATATGACATTTGGTAAGGAGAACTGACCTGTCTTGTTCCGCATTACTCTTTACTCTTCTCGAAACCTACGTGTGAAACAATCACACGCTAAGTCGAAGACTTAGTGAGGCATAAAAACTTATAATGCTCTTTATAACATATATCAATACATGCATGTTCTGTTCTATCATGTTATACCAAATTACATGCTTTCTTCGTATCATATAAAATCATATCAGATTAATTACAGTAAATACATACATACACATAACTCATCATTAACAGTTTATCATGTAATCACATACTTTTATGCTTAACCTTTTCAATCAAACACTATAAACACACAACATCATATCATTTCTATAACATTTATCATACCACTAACATATATTTGTTCATATCTCTGGATTAGCCCATGTACATATGTGAGAACTATAGATATGTGAGTTTATGGAGGTTGTGCACTAATGTTGTCACCACAGCTCATATAAATGCACCGAAGTGCCACATAGAATTGCACCGTAGTGCCGCGTAGAATTGCACCGTAGTGCCATATAATAATGTCCATAAGGACCACATATCATTCCTTAAGAATCATATACATATACTAGGGATCAAGTATGCGTCTCACCAGACTTCACACATGTTCCAAAGAATACATATATGTCCCGAAGGACCACAATGTCCTGAAGGACCACAAATCATTCCTTAAGAATCATATACATATGCCAAGGATCAAGTATGTGTCTCACCAGACTTCACACATGTTCCAAAGAATACATATATGTCCCGAAGGACCACAATGTCCCGAAGGACCACATATCATTCCTTAAGAATCATATACATATGCCAAGGATCAAGTTTGTGTCTCACCAGACTTCACACATGTTCCGAAGAATACATATATGTCCCGAAGGACCACATAGACCCTCAACTCTTGGCATACCAACTATACCCCTAGCTCTCACGACACATAACATGGGCATTGTCATTTAACAGTTCACATTACTTGTCATTTCTCTTCTGTCACATACCATATGTATGTGTAACCATGTATTCCATATCATATCACATGTTCATATAAGCTCATAGCTTCTTTCACATATACATGTAATCACTTAGTCTATTTTCATGTAATTCTTTTCACTTCTCATATGATTTTATATTCATATCTCACATATTTCATATAGTCACTTGGCTTATTTCATTTCACATTGGGCATGTCTCATAGCATATATCACACATGCATATAATCATGTAACATATATAATAACCTATATCCATTTCATGTATCCATGCACATATCAAAATCATAAATCAAATAACATTGTATTATTACATACTTTGTTCCATAGCCATATATTTACATATCTTATACTTACCTAGTTTACTCTATTTCACACATAGTCACATAATCACGTAATATACTTACGCATAGATCATTTTCATACCTAAATCATATAACACCCAATTCTTCCTCATAAAGTTATATATTATATTCATATAATATCATATTATCCTATAAGTAAATACTTATCTTATGGTTTGGTATCATCATTTATACTCAATTCCCTTCACTAATATATTATTCTCATATTACTCTATAGTCTAATCTTATTTAACTCATCAACTTTCTCATGTAGTCATATAAATCTATTATATAAATTCTTATAATTGATCACTTATACTATTAACATGTATGGCCACTTATCATATAACCTATTTCATATTCCCATGCAATCATATAGACCATTCATATTAATTCCTATACTTATCACAATACATGTATTCACACAATCATTTAACACATATTGTAATATATCACATACCCAAATCAAACATATGCATATGATCATAAATTAATGCATTATAATATAGGAAATAGACTCGTCGCAAGTCTTATTTCCATTAAACATCATAAACTAACTTGTATGCACTCACCTGGCCTCACTAGTCCATTCCAATCTCTTATCTTCCCTTTTTATCGATCTTACTTGTCAATGATTCCAGAACTCGTTTAGGCTCTGAATCTACATAATTATACATTTTAAGATAATTATTAGATACCTACACCTTGTAATTTGATACTAGCAACTTAAACGAACTTATTAAACCAATATTTACAATTTTCCTTTAGGGGGAATCGGTTCCCTCCTGTGGGGGTATCGGTTCCCCCATGACATTCTGGAAATTTTATTCGCTTGAAGGGTTATCGGTTCCCCTTGAATGGGTATCGATTCCCCTATCCCAGAATTACATTTTTGAACTCGAAAATCCCTTCATTTTCAGCTCCATACCTCATACTTCACTTCTATTAATATTCCTAACTTTCATACACATAATTAAACTCGTTTCTACTCCATAATCACTTCCTTAAACTCAAAATCCTATCTTTTACATGATATTCAAGAATCATACTCAAATACCAACATGTTCTAACTTTAATTCTATCACCTTATACTTCTTAATTAGCTTGATAACAAGTCAAATCCAACTTTAAATTCTTATTATGACCTCTAATCCAATATTTCATTCAATGGCTTCTAACCTTTAATCTCCCTTAACTTTCAATTCTTTGAGTTTCTACAACTCTTTTTCCTTCTATAATCTTTCTTAAGACTTCCATAATTAAAACCATGCTTGAATTTGAAGGATTAATCAAGAGAAATTAAACTCACCTTAGCTTGGGCTCTTCACGTTGAAGAAGAAAGAAGAATCAAGAGTTATCTGGAAACTCTTGTTTCTTTCACTTGGATATTATAATACCCATTATCTATTATTTAATTATTACCTTTGCTCAATGACCCTTTTACCCTTTTAGTTCTCATTCACTTAATAATTCATCCTACCCAACATCTTTAATTAATTCCTTCACTTTTCGATTAATTGAATTTGATCACTGACATTTTAAAATCTTACACTTTAATCACTAACCCGGTATGGAGGATGTTACAAATCTCCCCTCCTTATAAGAAAATTCGTCATCGAATTTTCACTGCACATCTTAATAAGAACATATCTTCTAATGTTCTTATGTTGCTTCCCTGGCTTATTCTTTCTTGTCATCATCAGAAACTTACTTTTCAATCCTTTAGTTTTCCAACTATCTTTTTCGTTTATACATTCATCTTCTGTTGCTTATCATATAAACAATAACCAGTAATACCAATCCATTGTTGTCTTTTCTCTCATTCAATTATGCATTTTTCCTTTGACCTTTCTAAAATTCCATATAATGTCACTCATCACGTTGACAGTAACATTCATCTCATCACTCTATATCATAAATCCATCTATTTCTTCATAACTCTCTAATTACCTTATAACCATACCAACTTGTATTCGTCATCATTTGACCAAAACACAACTTTAAATCTTCTTCAATTGTGATTAAACATATACTTTAAGGAGTCAAACAATATTTTCACATCACCTTGCACACTTTTCGTGTTTCTATATCGAACTTATCATTTACACTTCCATACAAATCCTCACTTCATTCACTATATCACGTTTATGTAATCAAAATATACAACTATATCTAATACAATTTCATCACAAAATCTTGTTAGTCAACGCTAACTCTTTCATTCTAAAGTACAAATCCTTATCATCTCCACACTCTTTCTTATACACAATACTATCCCTTTGTTTCAAATTCATAACTCTGATTCCATTCATATATGTTACTTATCCTGTAGACAGTAACATCATTCTTATCACTAAAAATAAAAAAATCATCAATTCATTTCTTTCCTTATTTTCTAATTAATTCACCACAATCCAAACTTTTACTCATTCTTTCATCCTTGTCTATATTACGATACACATAATCTCTTCATATAACCTTACATACTTTTCTTACTTCTAATCAAACTTATAATTTGCACTTCCTTATAACCCTTTATCATATTACTCATTTAAACACCATCTTTTCATTTCTTTATCCATTTATCCTTTTATTATCAAAATCTTCTTATATAAAAATCATATCTTTCCTTCCATGTTCACATACTCTTGTCTTATCACTTATTTTTATCTCTGTGTAACCATCTTCATTGCATCCTCATAACTTTGATATCCCTATTTCTTCTACCGATCTTTATTCTTTATCATCTCTTGTATTTGTATTTTCTTCTTTAAAGCCACTTTTTAAAACATACCAATGCTTATCTCTTTGCCTACATCATATCGGTATGATCAAGATACATAACCACATCCAGATTCATATCATATTGATTAACTCCACTTTATCTTTCCTCCAATCTTATAACTCTAGCACCTTTACTCTGACAGCTAGATAATAACTTTTGTTCAATCTAGGGCACAAGCCCTATTATACCAATCATATACATCCTTTCCAATCTAAATTATCTCAAATTCGCTTACTCAACTTATCAATTTCACCTCTATTCTCATACATCCTGAAATTTCTTTTGCTCAAACTCAACATTCTGACTTCCTGTGTCCTATAATCTGATCATCGATATACACATTCTCAAACTCTTCTTATCAATCCTCAGCTTTACTTAAATATACAAATTCTTACTTCCTTTTCCTTTACTATACCACATTACTATGATCCAAATATGCAACTGTATCCAGATCCATTGCAGATTTGGTTATCATATCCTGACAATATTTTATAATCTTATAATTCCAGTACATTTTTATCACATACTCTAGTTAGCCAATGCTAACTCTTTCCATCTTAACTGCAAACCCTTATCATAAACATACTCTTGTTTATGCGCAATACTATCACTTCGTTTCAAACTCATAAGCTCTGACTTTATACATCTTATACACTTGTCACTGATGCACTTATCCTTGAGTTCTTCTATACGTACTCACCACGTCATTAGATCTTTTTAACATTCTTATGGTGACACCTGTTCACCATATTCTATCTTATCCACATAATAACAAAACTACTCTATATCGTGTTTCCGATTCAAAACAATGAAAACTTTCTATCATTATTCAGATATGATTTCAGCTTTCTGAAATCAACTTTTGATCTTACTAGGCATTTCCTGAGGTGCCCGCTCTTCATCCTGTCTGGCCAGGGCAGGTGAATAGCTATCACAATCAGGAATATCACCTTTCACTTACTTCAAAATTATCACGATCGGATTTCTACTGTATTAAACTATTCTTATTCTATTAGCAAGACAACATATTCCTTACACTATCAGATCAGAAATTTTTCAATCTATGTTGGCATGTACACCTTTTATGACACTTTGGACTTCGGTTTATGCCGAGAATCGGCTAAACCTTAGCTCTGATACCATTAAATGTAACACCCCCAACCCGTATCCGACCCGGATACGAGTTTGAAGTGTCACATTGACTTTTCAAACATTTATTCGTATAAAATAGTGAGTAATTTAAAAACTTTGATAACATTTAACTTATTCAAAACGTTTACAAAATATATCAGAGTTCATACAATTTATATCTTTAGACTACATGCCAACTACACTCTATAAACAGTACATATATTTTCTGATATGACATTTGGTAAGGAGAACTGACCTGTCTTGTTCCGCATTACTCTTTACTCTTCTCGAAACCTACGTGTGAAACAATCACACGCTAAGTCGAAGACTTAGTGAGGCATAAAAACTTATAATGCTCTTTATAACATATATCAATACATGCATGTTCTGTTCTATCATGTTATACCAAATTACATGCTTTCTTCGTATCATATAAAATCATATCAGATTAATTACAGTAAATACATACATACACATAACTCATCATTAACAGTTTATCATGTAATCACATACTTTTATGCTTAACCTTTTCAATCAAACACTATACACACACAACATCATATCATTTCTATAACATTTATCATACCACTAACATATATTTGTTCATATCTCTGGATTAGCCCATGTACATATGTGAGAACTATAGATATGTGAGTTTATGGAGGTTGTGCACTAATGCTGTCACCACAGCTCATATAAATGCACTGAAGTGCCACATAGAATTGCACCGTAGTGCCGCGTAGAATTGCACCATAGTGCCATATAATAATGTCCATAAGAACCACATATCATTCCTTAAGAATCATATACATATACTAGGGATCAAGTATGCGTCTCACCAGACTTCACACATGTTCCAAAGAATACATATATGTCCCGAAGGACCACAATGTCCCGAAGGACCACATATCATTCCTTAAGAATCATATACATATGCCAAGGATCAAGTATGTGTCTCACCAGACTTCACACATGTTCCAAAGAATACATATATGTCCCGAAGGACCACAATGTCCCGAAGGACCACATATAATTCCTTAAGAATCATATACATATGCCAAGGATCAAGTTTGTGTCTTACCAGACTTCACACATGTTCCAAAGAATACATATATATCCCGAAGGACCACATAGATCCTCGACTCTTGGCATGCCAACTATACCCCTAGCTCTCATGACACATAACATGGGCATTGCCATTTAACAGTTCACATTACTTGTCATTTCTCTTCTGTCACATACCATATGTATGTGTAACCATGTATTCCATATCATATCACATGTTCATATAAGCTCATAGCTTCTTTCACATATACATGTAATCACTTAGTCTATTTTCATGTAATTCTTTTCACTTCTCATATGATTTTATATTCATATCTCACATATTTCATATAGTCACTTGGCTTATTTCATTTCACATTGGGCATGTCTCATAGCATATATTACACATGCATATAATCATGTAACATATATAATAACCTATATCCATTTCATGTATCCATGCACATATCAAAATCATAAATCAAATAACATTGTATTATTACATACTTTGTTCCATAGCCATATATTTACATATCTTATACTTACCTAGTTTACTCTATTTCACACATAGTCACATAATCACGTAATATACTTACGCATAGATCATTTTCATACCTAAATCATATAACACCCAATTCTTCCTCATAAAGTTATATATTATATTCATAATATCATATATCCTATAAGTAATACTTATCTTATGGTTTGGTATCATCATTTATACTCAATTCCCTTCATTAATATATTATTCTAATATTACTCTATAGTCTAATCTTATTTAACTCATCACCTTTCTCATGTAGTCATATAAATCTATTATATAAATTCTTATAATTGATCACTTATACTATTAACATGTATGGTCACTTATCATATAACCTATTTCATATTCCCATGCAATCATATAGACCATTCATATTAATTCCTATACTTATCACAATACATGTATTCACACAATCATTTAACATATATTGTAATATATATCACATATACCCAAATCAAACATATGCCTATGATCATAAATTAATGCATTATAATATAGGAAATAGACTCGTCGCAAGTCTTATTTCCATTAAACATCATAAACTAACTTGTATGCACTCACCTGGCCTCACTAGTCCATTCCAATCTCTTATCTTCCCTTTTTATCGATCTTACTTATCAATGATTCCGGAACTCGTTTAGGCTCTGAATCTACATAATTATACATTTTAAGACAATTATTAGATACCTACACCTTGTAATTTGATACTAGCAACTTAAACGAACTTATTAAACCAATATTTACAATTTTCCTTTAGGGGGAATCGGTTCCCTCCTGTGGGGGTATCGGTTCCCCCATGACATTCTGGAAATTTTATTCGCTTGAAGGGTTATCGGTTCCCCTTGAATGGGTACCGATTCCCCTAGCCCAGAATTACATTTTTGAACTCGAAAATCCCTTCATTTTCAGCTCCATACCTCATACTTCACTTCCATTAATATTCCTAACTTTCATACACATAATTAAACCCGTTTCTACTCCATAATCACTTCCTTAAACTCAAAATCCTATCTTTTACATGATATTCAAGAATCATACTCAAATATCAACATGTTCTAACTTTAATTCTATCACCTTATACTTCTTAATTAGCTTGATAACAAGTCAAATCCAACTTCAAATTCTTATTATGACCTCTAATCCAATATTTCATTCAATGGCTTCTAACCTTTAATCTCCCTTAACTTACAATTCTTTGAGTTTCTACAACTCTTTTTCCTTCTATAATCTTTCTTAAGGCTTCCATAATTAAAACCATGCTTGAATTTGAAGGATTAATCAAGAGAAATTAAACTCACCTTAGCTTGGGCTCTTCACGTTGAAGAAGAAAGAAGAATCAAGAGTTATCTGGAAACTCTTGTTTCTTTCACTTGGATATTATAATACCCATTATCTATTATTTAATTATTACCTTTGCTCAATGACCCTTTTACCCTTTTAGTTCTCATTCACTTAATAATTCATCCTACCCAACATCTTTAATTAATTCCTTCACTTTTCGATTAATTGAATTTGATCACTGACATTTTAAAATCTTACACTTTAATCACTAACCCGGTATGGAGGATGTTACATCTATTTTGCTGCAATTTGGTATAATTAGGGGGTGTTTATCGAGTGAGTGGATCACGAATTAGATAGTGTTAACTCATTCTTGCTAATTTTTTTTACTCAATTTGACTCGTTGCTTGTTAAGCTCGTTAAAATTTTACTCGACTTGTGCTCGTTAAGTTCGTTACTTGCTTCGTTGTTTGTCTCGTTGTTCATTAAGTTTATCAAAATTTGTATCTTATTTTTTTACTTCTATAGGTAAAATCTACTAAGACTATATAAAGCTTAATATAAACGTAAATTGATAAACTTAACAAAAAAAATAATCAAAAGAGTGTATAAAATATTTAAAGTTTAAACTCCAAAATAAAAATCTACAAATACATTAAAATAATAATTAGAATTTAATTTTTGGGTGTAGGAGAATAATAATTATTAATTAATAATTTAGTTTTTTATTAAAAAATTAATAGATTAGTCATTTATTATCCATTAGTACATTAGTAAATCTTTTAATGAAATAATTTTTAAGATAATAAGTAAAAGATTATAAAAAAAAACTAACAAGTTGTTCGCGAACTTATCGAGTTGAGGTTGACTTTGTTTGACTCAGTTTATTAAGATCTCGAGTTTGAGTCTAGTTAGCCTGAGTTGAATTTTATCGAGTTTTGATCGAATCTAGTTAGAATTGCTCTCGAGCTGCTCAACTCATTAAGCTCCCCTCGGTATAATTGGACTCTCCAATGGTGCTTGAATATTCTTGGACATTACAGTCGTTAATTGGTTGATCAATCCTAAAGAAGACATCCACATGTTTATAAACAAAATTCCCCGACGAGAATTCAGACGTATTCCATTTCCAGTTCTGTTGACAGATATCACTCATCATTGTACTGTTGTATAATGTTATGGATAATACACCTGATTGAATTTGGTTTTTTATTATGTTGTTGTTGGTTGTTTTTCTTATTTTAACTATTTGATAATATTACTGTGAGTTTGCATTAATCTCATATCTTATTAGATATGTCTTTTTGGGAAGAGGATAATGACTGTTTTAACTATTTGAATTTTATTTAGGTCATAATTTTTTTTTGAAAAAATGCAAATTGATCTTTTCAAATTTTTTGAAGATTTTAATTTAAACCTCTAAAATTTTAAAAGTTTTAAGTCGGCATATCCAAATCCTAATGCCAAATTCTGGCTCTGTGAATAATCAATGACCTAACTTACTAACTAACAACCTAAATAAACTAACTATTATTTTATTTCTAGCAAGACATGTTGAAGAACTCGTGTGTTCATCATTTTCTCAATTACTCCATTATCTACTATACTATCCCATGATTGATTAATTGTTTTACCCATCAACCAAAATGGATTACTAAGTTTATTTACGTAAAAATAAAGTTACTGACTGTTAATTCTGAAGTGTGCGTAGATTTGGTTCGTGGATGAAACCTGGTCCTTGCAAGCCAAATGGAGATTTTTATGTTCATCACTATGATTGGCTTGCTCATGTTAATTATAGGAATATGCATGGAAATTTTATGTTAGAAGGGAGAAATTAAAAATCCAAGGAAGATTGGAACTTATTAGAACTGTGTTGTCTTCTATTGCTAATTTCTGGTGTAGGCAGCTCTTCCTGCCTAACTCGGTTTTGGGAAAGATAGAGCAACTTTGTTCCCCTTTCTTCTGGAAAGGGTTTGACAAAGCTGACTCAGGAGCAAGAGTAAGTTGGACTAACATCTGTTACTTGAAATCCGAAGGAGGGCTCGGAATTAAAAATATGAAGTCTTGGAATAAAGCATGCATGATCCTATTAATTAAGAAAATCCTTGCATGTGAAGGGTCTCTTTGGGTTGCTTGGCTCAAAAATTATGTCCTTAAGGACAGATTTCTGGTATGTGGAAATTAATTCTACTACCGGTTGGTGTTTCAAGAGGCTTCTGAAATTGAGACCAGAGTTGCATCAGTTTCTGACTCCATGTGCTATCAAAGCTAGTACCATATGAGATTCAATCCGAGAGAAAAGACCTAAGGTTCCTTGGCAGAAACTGTTACGGTTTCCCCTGCATATCCCAAAACCCAGTCTGATAACCTGGATGACTTTCCTTGATAAACTTCCTACCAAGGTAAGATTACAACGTATGGGGTTAATTAACGATTCTTTATGCGTTTTCTGTAAAGCTGAATTGGAATCCAGGGACCATCTATTCTTAAATTGTCCTACCGCTGTATTCCTATGGGAAGCTATTTACTCTTTATCTGGTCTGCATTTTACTGCCTGCTCATGGGTCACTTTCTTGGCGAGGGCTAGCTCTTCCTGGAAAGGTAAATCCTTGCTTTCTATGGTTATGAAGCTTGCTCTGAATGCTCTTGTTTACACACTTTGGGAGGAAGGGAACAAAAGACTGTTCCAAGGTCGAACCAGGTCTGTCTAAGGTATACTAAAGGCTATCAAAGACATTGTTAGTCTTCATCTAAGGGGTAGGAATTTTAACATAATAGATAGTGTGAATATTACTCTCTGCAATCATTGGAATATAGGTGATCATTGATTCTTTTTTTATGTATCGAACTGTTCTGAACATTGATTGTATTTTGTAGTAGGCTCTGCTATTTGGATAATAAAAATCTGAATTATTCAAAAAAAAAAAAAAAATCTAAGGAGTTGAACCTATTTAAGAATTTGAAATTTTCATGGGGTCATTGCCCCTTGTCTCTCTCGGTCTATCCCGGTTAACAGTGTTCTTGGATTCAAGGGTTGGATATTCTCAACATGTAAAGAACCAATCTGCTGAAGTTGGACCGTGCCCTGGCACTTCTGTTTCCATTGCTGTGAAGCTCTCTCAAGTTCTTATCTTAGAAATTTTTTATTTTTGTTTATATGATATGTACAGTTTTCACGTTAATGGGTTAGGTAATTTCTTAAAGCACCTTTAGTTGTTGACCATCATTTCTAATTTCTAAAATGCATAACTTGAAAATCGTTTTTTCCTTTTATAGGAATTTTTGAAAAAACTTATTTTTTCATTATTATGTTCTAATCTTTTTGACGCAACATGGGATCAAATCTTTGGAAATCTATAATGGACACTGCATTAATGTCATATGATAGCAAGGACGGGCCACACACTCATAGGAAGAACAAATTAATGCATTTATTTTTAAACCAAATTCGTTCTTTGTACCAGTTTAGACTTGACATGGACAAAGAGCTGATAAAGTAGACTATGATTTTGAACTAGAGCTTCACTTGATCCAACAGATGTTTCCCATTAATTTTCCTGCTTAGCCTCAGTGTCAGGAACTCCTCAAGTAGCATAGTCTTGTACAGTGCTTTGTTTCTTTTCACAAGATCTGGCAATGGACCAATTCGAGTACTATTTTTCGGGATGTGAAACGCTGCAATTGACAGCCGCTCTTTCTCCTGATTCACCACAGCTTTAGGTTCTACGCTTTTGTATTCTCCATTGCTTATAATCTGCTATTTAGTCTTTGATTAGGCATGTTATATATACAATCCATCATGTCTAAGTTATGTAGCTTCAAGTATTGTTATATTACCTCGATCATGTCTCCGATATTGACTATCAATGCACCGGGGATGGGTTTAACTGGCACCCATTTCTCATTTTTCTTGATTTGTAATCCTTCCACCTCATTCACTTGAACAGTAGCGTTAAGGCTCTAGCATCAGAGTGTGGAGATGCACCAAGAAACTTGCTTGCCTCTGCACACGGTGGATAATAGTCCATTCTTATTCCTTGTGTTACATCCTTGAAGAAGTTCGAAAACTTCTCGAGGTCGGTCTCCAGGTTCTTGGCAATAAGCTTCACAAGCTCATGCAACTCCATTGAGTACTTCTCCAAGGTTGCCCTGAAAACAGCTCAAGTTACAGACACCCTATTATGGTCCTGAAGTTTGAAGGATTTCGTTATCGAGTGTACCTGAATGAAGGAGGATTGTTCGGCCAGAATCTCATATTCCTCAAGGGCACAGGCAGGGGAAAAACAAAAAGCACGTCGTTCCAATCAAGCTTCTGGTCTTTAGACATTACCAAGGTTTGACCGTAACCTTCAATCTCATTTGGTATCTGTGCACACTTTGTCTTTTCCTCCAAAGGCAATTTGAAGAATTCTTGTGTGTCAATCTTCATTTTCTCAATCACTTCATCTGGTACCCCATGATTGACCAACTGTTTCAACAACAATAAAGATGAACTATTGAGTTCATTGACGTAAAAAATTACTCTTTATTGAGAGTTGTGATTAGATTACGTACCTGGAAGAAACCCCAGTGTTTGCAAGCCAAATGGAGTTTTTTCAGTTTATCATGGTGATCTAGTTTGCACATGTCAATCACAGGAATCTAAAGCTACATCGAGTTTAACCTCTGGTCTGATATATCTGGACGGGATATGCTTCAGGTTCTTGGATGCAAGAGCTTGGACATTCTCAACAGGTAAAGAACCACCCATTCCTCTGCTCTCCACCTTTGTGTCCATTTCTGTAAAGCTGTCAGTTTCTGATCTGAGAAAAAAATGTTGATTTCTGTTTATATGCCAAGTACTCAGAAAACATTGACGTGTTATTTGCATTTAGTAATTTCTAACCTACCTAATCAGTTTGTCCTTTTTTACTACAATTATTTGCAAGTTTTAGCATGTATGTCCCTCATCTGTACATTATACAAATGGATCTCCATTAGTGCTAGCCAATGCAAGCAGCTCCTCTTACTGCAAGTTCTCAACCCTTGCAATTGTCTTACCCTACATTACAACCTCCACCACCTAATACAAGCGCCGATTTAAGGAAAAAATATCCTCGAACCTGAAAACGATTTCGACTGAACTAATAGAGGAGATCCCAAACTCTCTTGAAGTGCAGTTGGTGCATTACACATGTCACGATTACAAATTTTCAATGCCTGATATTTCTCCTATGCTTGTCGGGCTGGTGATCCAGATGATAGGCATTCTACACATGGTATACAGTTTTCTTTGGTGATAATCTCATTAGTTGGTCGTCTTCCAAACAGCGAGTACTTGCCTGTTCGAGCACCGAGTCGGAAAACCTTCGTCTTAACAGCTGATTTCTCAGATGAACTGAAGAAAAGTTGTTGATTAAATTGCAAGACTCGAAAAATCAATTTTTTTCTTCCAATTTTGAGTCATTCAAGTCAACTCGAATTATCAATTCAGTTTTCGAGTTCGATTCGAGTTGAAATTTTAGAATTTCGAGTTACACGAAAAATAAAAAAATTGACTAAGTATTTTAACGGTTTTACGATTTAGTCACTGATTTCATTATTCATTCAATTTCTCTTTCAATTTAAGTCTACTTTTACCAAATTTGAACTATATGCTCTTAAACCATCGTATTCCTCTTTTTGATAACATATTTTCTATTTTTCAATTTATTCTCTCAATTTTTCACAATTTTCTTATTTCTTCAATTTATGCTTTATTTTAAGACTCATTTTTACCAAATTTGAACCACATACTCATATATTACAATAGAATAACTTTGTAACTTCGTTCTTACTTTTTCACTAAAAATTTACTCTCTTTTTATTTAGTCCCTTAATTTTGCTTTTTACTCAATTTGATCTTTTGACTACAATTGTTTACAAATTTTTTCTTCTCATCAATTCCTGTAACTCTTTTATACTCTCATCAATATTTTACTATCAAAATACTTTCTTTAAAATATAATATTATGAATATATTTTATAATTTTAGATTGTATTTGATATATTCAATAAAGTTATAATGTGAAAAGAATATAAAATATATAGAAACTCGGATAACTCGACTCGAATAGAAAAAATTTAAAGTTAAATCGTAAAATACTACTCATCAACTCAAAAAAATTTTGACTCGACTCGATCCGATTGAACGCTAACCCCTAAATTTACATATAAAAAATATTTATTTTAATTTACATGGTTATCTCGAGAAAAGAGTCAATTCAGTAATCAGTACAAAGTAAGATTGATGCATCAATGTTAACTATGTGGCAAACTTGGACACATGATTTGTTGTTGTTGGCACAAGTTTGATCAAAACTTCAAAGGAGTTGCCTCAAAACATTTATACTAGTGATATGCAAGCCAATGTGTGTAAATATACAACTGAGGCTAATGAATCGTGCTATAACCCTTTTGTGAGCTCGATTGTAGATCTTGTTGTCTCTACTGAAAAAGCCATAAAGGAAACTACTCAGGTTAATGCTCTCATTGCTCATGGTGTCTTAAATGTCTCAGATAAGTGATTCTTTGATTCTGGAGCTACGCATCATGTTATAAACGTCCATCTTGCAGGGTCATCTTCAAGACAGTGTTCGAGTACATGTAGAGTGTTTCTCGGTGATGGCTCTATCTTGCAAATCTCTCATATGGGTAAAGCAGTTTTATCTACTAAGAATTGTGACTTGAAACTTGATCATGTGTTACAGTTGCCTCAGATTACTCGGAACTTACTGTCAGTATCTAGGTTTACACATGATAATAATGTGTATCTTGAGTTTCACTATGATAAATGTTTTGTGAAGGATGGGCAAATTGGTGTTTCAACTAGAATGTAAACTTGAATGTCATGTGTAAATTAAAATATTCAAAAATTAAATAAAAAAAAATCTTGAAACGTTCAAACCAATTTATTCACTTTATCTTTTTTATCAGAAACCTGAAAAGAATCATCTTAGGATTTTTATCAAAAATCATAATAATTAATATCAGACAAAATAATTATATAACATTTCTTTCCGGTCATATACTTTTCAGAACTCTTTCACGTTTCATTTCCATAGCTCAAAGTATATTTAAAAGAATGCAAGGTATGTAAGTTAGACGAGTGCGCACAATAAGCACTTCAGTGCTATCATCAAATCAGACTATGCACTCCAAATGCAATCATATATATAATCTGCACCAACGGTGCTACACATAATGTACACCGATGTACCAAACCAGAATCATATTCACTCCACCTCATGGCATGACAATTGTATCTAAGACTCTCAATGCAACATACAATGGACTCCCAAATCATTTCAAGTTCATTTTATAGTCATTATTTTGTTATTAGAATCATTTTTAATTCATCGTCATAAAACAAAAATTTGGGCAGTTCATACTCTAAATCATTCATAAACTTTATACAAATATTATGGAATTAACTCATAATTTAAAACGTAAATCATATTTTTTTTAAAATAAAATAATATGAGGTTGACTTATCACAAGTCGTATTCGATCAGAATAAATAAATAAATTGCACTCACCTTTGCCTCACTACTGAACCTTATGCGATATTATTTATTCGCGTGATGTTTCCTTTCCGTTCAGATCGCTTGGATCACTAAGTTTATCTTGGTCTACAATATCATAATAATAACACAATATTCGACTATATGTTAGTATCACACTAACATAATCTAAATTTAATAATATAAAAAAATGGTTGTCCCTTGTTCCCATATGTAATGGGGTAAGGGGGAGGTAAGATAATAGGCTGCCCTCCCCAACACTAGGTTGAGAGCAGCTTCCGTAGGAGACCTCCAAATTATGAAATGCCCTCCATAGGACTCGATCCCACGACCTCAAGGTTAAGAACATTGTGCTCTACCAACTGAGCTGGATGGTCATTTCTAAATTTAATAATATAAAAAGTATATAAAATAAAAACCGATACTAAATCGATTTCATACTAAATCATATTCCAACATAATTTCAAACTTTTCAAAATATTCATTCAATTCCAAAATAATTTCAAACTTTTTCCAATTCCACAATCAAGCCACTAATTATGAATTCTTTCTAAAATTCACCTTAACTTTTCCATTAACTTCACAATAGCCCTTCACCATTATGATCAGTTCACCTTAATTACTAAAATTTCCAGTACCTTAATAAATTTCTCAAATCAATACTTTCACTTTTAATAAGCTTGAAATCCAGTCCCTATAATATCCAGACCTTTCGAATTCAACCCCAACCTTTATAACTTGCAATTTAATCCAAATTCAAATAATTAAACCCAAAATCAGCATTACAAATTCTTGTTCAAAATAATACCAACATATTTCCAAACTCACAAACAAGTCCCTAAAGCTTTAGGACTTTCCGCATTCCACCATTAAAATTAACCAAACTTGAAATTTGGTTTCAACCAAGTTTCTAACTTAAAATTCCAGCATATCAATGTTAGAAGTTAACATTAAACACCTCAAATATCACATTCTTGCAATAATATCCCACAATTCTCAAAACTTGGAAATTAACCCTTTTCCTAAATCAAGATTCCAAATTGACTCAAATTAATCTACAAATCACATAAAATACTTCTAATAGCAATTATAGACCATAGGAAATTTTTCAATATTTTCCTCCAATTTATCCCTATGGTCGAATGCTTATTACTACCTAAGGTAGACTTTTTGTTCAATTCCAAGCATGAATTCAACCTCATATGATCAAATTCATGCATTTTCAATCATCAAAACATCAAATTGAATCAAAATCCAATAATTCATTATAAACCCTAAGTTGGCCGAACCTCATACAAGCATGTATAAACAATTTCAATCATCTTACAAGCCTTAGAATTAATCACCAACCTTAAAAACATAATAATCTTTAATCAATTCTTCAAAATCACCAAACCCTACACAAACCCTAATCACCAAATATCAACACACAAGCATCTTCACCATGCAATTTATATACCAATAGGTAGAGAATTTCATGTAGATTAATTCTCTATCTAATAGCAATCCAAAAATGAAATTCTTACCTTAGCAAGCTTTGAAGTTTCAGCCAAGAGAGAGTTGAAGCTGAAAATTTTTCTCTTCTTGATTATTGTAGTATAATTTAATAAGACACTTGTCTTAATTTAAAATTCAATTATTGAGAAATTCCATTTTTACCATTAATTAATCTTGAAAATCACCAAATTCCATTTCCATATTCTCTATTAAAATATTTCATAGTCAAAGATGAATCAACTTAGCTTTTACTTTTTACTATGGCCATAAAATTTTTGAAAATTGCATTTTAGTCATTAAATCTTCCATTGTTTGGCCAAATCTGAAAAATTACACTAATATGTGCTAAATTTCTCAAATCTATACCTTGATGTTTAAATCTCGAAATGAAGCTCCTTGCTTAGCCACACTCCTTTCCTTGGCGATTTGGGAGAGACCTCACTTTTCTTTAGCTAGAAATGAACCAAGACTTTGAATCATCAAACCAAAGTTGATGGATGGGTTTAGGATGCAAATGGAGTTTAAAAGAAGTATGAAATGGTTCAAAAGACTCACCTTTAGCTATGGCACTTGGAGGAGAAATGAGAGAAGGAAAGAAGAAAATAGAGAGAAGATGGAGATGAAAGAGAAAAAAACTCACATCTTTTAAAAAATGGGTTAATTATGCTTTTGATCCTTTCTCATCTTCCTACCATTTAAAAAATATTCTTTTGATGGCTAATTGGGTCCAATTCTATCTCAATTAAGCCCAATGACTTAAATTATGAAATCTACGGAGTCCACAAACCTCTTGGGTAAACCCGAAACTATTAGCCTAGAATTTGGGGTGTTAAATTGGTTCTCGGGAGAATTATAGAAAATGTTGTAAACGAAGATTTTGACAGTATCTTTAATTGTTTTTCATGATAAATTTTGGTAAGAAAACCTCGTAAATCCCTCGTAATTTCAAATTTGACAAAATAATCTTTATTATAAAATATTATAGGATACTCACTTTAAAAAATAACTAAGATTATATACATCATTTGGAACAGACATGCATATAATGCATATTTACTTTCTTTTTTTGTTTGGATAAAATTCATATAACTTATACATAGTATAAGGTGACAAACCAAAAAAAAAACAATAATCTCATACAGTTATTCTTATTATTTTTTATGATATTTAGATAAAAATTCCGCTATAAAAAGAATCAAATTTTCCTGAGTCATAACTTGAGATAGCATTACAGCAATCGAACTAATGGTGCAGAGCACAGTTGAACTTGAGCAGTTTGGTTCTTTACCTGTTGAGAATGTCCAATCTCTTGCATCCAAGAACATCCCACCCAGATAAATCCGACCAGAGGTTGAATCCGATGAGGTTTCCACAGATGAATCCCTGCTGAGTCCTGTAATTGACATGAGCAAGCTAGACCATGATGATGAACAGAAAAAACTCCATTTCGCTTGCAAACACTGGGGTTTCTTCCAGGTACCTAATCTAATCACAACTCTCAATTCACAGTAACTTTTTTTTCACTACCTAAATGGACTTGGTAGTTCAGTTTTATTTGATGGGTGCAACAGTTAATCAATCATGGGGTAGCAGATGAAGTGATTGAGCAAATGAAGACCGACGCACAAGAGTTCTTCAACTTGCCTTTGGAGAAGAAGATGGCTTTTGCACAGATACCGAATCACATCGAAGGCTATGGCCAAGCCTTTATTGTAGCAGAAGACCAGAAGCTTGATTGGGGCGACATGATCTTCCTTTTTGGCCTGCCTGTGCCCTTAAGAAATAAGAGATTCTGGCTGACCAATCCTCCTTCACTCAGGTAAAATCAGCGATGATCCTTCAACTTCATAACCATTATCGGGTGTCTGTGACTGTAAAGCTGCTTTCAGGCCAACCTTGGAGAAGTACTCAATGGAGTTGCATAACGTTATGATTCAACTCATGAAGCTTATTGCCAAGAACCTGGGAACAGATCCTGAGAAGCTTTTAAGCTTCTTTGAGGATGAAATACAAGGAATAAAATTGAACTATTATCTACCATGTCCAGAGGCAAGCAAGGTTCTTGGTGCATCACCTCACTCTGATACTACAGCCTTAACACTCTTGCTTCAAGTCAATGAAGTTGAAGGATTGCAGTTCAATAGAAACCAGAAATGGGTACCTGTTAAACCCATCCCAAACGCATTCATCATCAATATCGGAGACGTGCTTGAGGTAATATAACAAATATTTCAAGCTACATAGTCTAAGACTTGATGAATCGTATACGTAATGTTATATAAATGCAGATTCTGAGCAATGGAGAATACAAAAATGTAGTACATAGAGCTGTGGTAAATCCGGAGAAAGAGAGGCTGTCGATTGCATCATTTCACTGTCAAAAAATGGGAACCCAGATTGGTCCTTTGGAAGATCTTGTTCAGACGAACAAGGCACTGTATAGGACTCTACCAATTGAGGAGTTCCAGAGGTTGAAGATGACCAGCAAACTTGATGGGAAATTTATGATAAATAAAGTGAAGCTCTAGTACGGAATCTTAGTCAAGTTTATCACATCTTTGTCCATGCTAAATACTTGAATAAAGACAGATTCTGAAAAAAGCAGTCAAATTCTCGGTCAATAACACTCGGTACGAAGAAGAAAACAGAGAAAATCTAGTTATATTGATCGAGAATTTCAGCCATTGTTGGGTGAAAAAGTAATGGTTTGTTGATATTGTTCTCTGGATTAGTTACTGGAATTATCTAAATGTTATTGTACAATCTGTTCTTGATGACGTTGCCATGTGAGAACCTTCTTAGATGATTTACCTGTTGTGGAAGACGGCTATCGGATAGAACAAAATCACAATTGATAATTTGAAAGAATAAAAATGAAAATAAAGAAGACACAAATTTTACGTGGAAAATCCCTAAATAATATATGGTAAAAACCACGGGCAACGGTAGAAGAATTTCACTATGAGAAAATAAGAATTACAACTTCTCTCGATCTACCAAGGAGAAAACAATGATAATTCTCTCTTGATAAAAAGGAGAAAACAACTCTCAAGAAACTCTCTAAATTCTCTCTAGTATTGTAAGAAAGCGAGAATGCTTGGATGCTTTTGAAGCTAAATTAGCTAGGGTATTTATAGTTGAAGCTTAAGGACTAATTTGTAAATATCCTAAATTATAATGGCTAAAATTAGGTTCTACCATTGTTGAAAAAATCAACAATTGTGTACTGCTTTTTGACAATTGTATTCGATGGATTAATTAAATCCAACTTTCCACCGAAAGTTGGTTTAATTTTCAACAATCTCTCACTTGAAGATTTGATTGAAACAATCATATCTTCACACCATTCTTTCTACCTTATACCATCATGTTGCTTACGTTTCTGACAGGCCACAAGAGGATCGACACCAAGTAAATTTATCGGTATTGATCGTCTTCGTCATGAAATCTGCTATATTGTCTTTGGTATGTATCTTCTGCATATCTATCGTCCCTTCTTCCACCTTTTCACGAATGAAATGGTACTGAACTCGTATGTGCTTTGTCCTTGAATAAAATGCTGGATTCCTTGCTAGATGTAAGGCGCTTTGACTGTCACAAAACAGAGAGACATACTCTTGATTGTGCCCAAACTCCTCCAATAGCATCTTCAACCAAATTGCTTCTTTACTGGCTTGTGTAGCTACTACATTTTCTGCTTATGTTGTGGATGTAGCCACAACTGACTGCAATTTTGAAACCCAGCTTACAGCTCCACCAGCAATTTTGAACACATATCCTGTAGTAGATTTGCTTTTATCCAAATCCCCTGCATAGTTAGAATCTACATACCCATTGATTAGTAAATTTGATCCTCCATACATAATGCAACATTTGAGGTCCTTTTGATGTATCTCAGGATACTCTTTACTGTATTCCAATGCTCTTTGCTTGGATTCGCCATATACTGACTAACCACTGCTTGTGCAATGTCTGGTCTTGTGTATATCATAGCGAACATTAAACTTCCCACTGTTAATGCATACGATACTCGAGACATCTCCATCATCTCTTCTTCACTGATAGGACTCATACTGGAGGATAATTTAAAGTTAATAGGAAGAGGGGTAGAAATTGGCTTACAATCTTGCATGCTGAATCGTGACAAGATATTCTTCAAGTAATTCTTTTATGAAAGCCAAATCTTCCTATTACTTCTGTCTCGGTGAATTTGCATCCCTAGAATCTTGTTTGCTGATCCCAAGTCCTTCATTTCAAATTCCCTAGCCAGTTGTGCCTTCAATTCTTCAATATGATCTTTGTTGGGTCCTGCAACCAATATGTCATCCACATACAACAGCAATATAACAAAATCGTTATCATCATACCTCTTGAAATAAGCACAAGGATCTGCATTAAGTCTGTTATATCCAAGGCACATAATGAAGGAATCAAATCTCTTATACCAACACCTCGGCGCCTGCTTTAGACCGTACAAAGATTTGTTCAACCTGCAAACCAAGTTCTTCTTTTCTCTTTCTTCAAAACCTTCAGGCTGGAGCATGTAAATCTCTTCTTCAAGATTTCCATGAAGAAAAGTTGTTTTAACATCTAGCTGCTTTAGATGTAAGTTCAATGTAGCACACATTGCCAAAACTACTCGAACTGTTGTTAGTCGAACCACAAGAGAAAATATTTCATTGAAATCAATACCTTCTTTTTGAGCATATCCTTTGACCACCAATCTTGCATGATACCTCTCCACTTGATCGTCACCATTTCGCTTGATTTTGAAGACCCATCATCCACAATTAAGCATCTGCGCTGTTTATTGCCTCTTGGTATGTTGATGGCTCACCGTCCTCTATTAAAAGGCAGTAAGCAATATTACATTCTATAACATAATCTGAGTTTCAATTGGGACGTCTTCTTACACGATCTGATTGACGAGTTGTTGGAGCTTAAGAACTCTCTAGTTCTTGTTCATCATGTGCTGGTTCTGCTTCAGAAGAATCTCCTTGTTCAACCTCCTTTTCCACATATATCTATGTAGTCTCTGACTTTTTAGCGCTATCATCATCTTCTTTTCTTTGTAGTTTATCTTCTACAAAGATAACATCCATACTGATGATAACTTTGCGGGCAGTGGGATCCCACAAGCGATACCCCTTTACACCATCAGCATACCCCAAGAATTTTCATTTCCTGGATTTTGGATCCAGCTTTGAAATTTTTTGGGAGTTGTACATCACGTACACAATACTTCGAAATACATGGAGGTTTGAATAATCAGCTGGTTTACCAGTCCACATCTCCATTGGTGTCTTCAGCTCTATTGCAGTTGATGGAGCTCGATTCACCAAATAACAAGCGGTATTGACTGCTTATGCCCACAATGATTTTTCTAGGCCTGCATCCCTCAACATTGCTCTTGTTCTTTATAACAAGGTTCTGTTCATCCGCTCTGCCACTCCATTTTGTTAAGGAGTGTTCGCCACTGTGAACTGCCTTTTGATGCCTTATTTCTTGCAAAAGTCATCAAATTCTCTACTTGTGTATTCTCCTCCATTATCTGTTCTGAAACACTTGATATTATTTCCAGAATCAAGTTCCACCCTCGCTTTGAAGTTTTTGAAAGTTGAAGACATGTCTGACTTCTTTTTAATAGGGTACACCCAACATCTCCTGGAGTAGTCATCAATAAATGAGACAAAATATTTTGCTCCGCCTAGGGATGTAACTGGTGCTTGCCATACGTCAGAGTGAACCAATTCTAGAACATTTTTGCCTATAGAATTTGATGTGTTGAATTTCAACCGGTGCTGCTTACTTGTTATGCAATGCTCACACAAAGGAAGTGATACCTTTGTTAAGCCTGAAAGTAGCTTTTTCTCCACAAGGACTTTCATTTCTTGTTCTGACATGTGTCCAAGTTTTTGATGCCATAGCATTGCAGAATCTGAACTACATGAGGCAACAGAGGCTTCTGCTTCTAGCAAAGTTTCTCCCTTCAGCATGTACAAGTTTGCAGCTATCTTTTCTCCTTTCAACACCACAAGCGCTCCACGGAACACCTTCATGATTCCTTTCCGTGTTTCAATCTTGCTTTCATTATTATCCAACAATCCGTGGGATAATAAATTTTTCTTCAGGCCTTTCACGTGCCGCACATCTCGAACAACTTTAATTGTTCCATCATACATCTTCAATTTGATGGTTCCCACGCCAACGATCTCCAAGGCATGATCATTGCAACTATACACGGATCCTCCTGAGATAGGTTCATAATGATGGAACCATTCTCTTCTTGAGGTCATGTGATATGTTGCTCCCGAATCAATGAGCCATATGTCTGCATATTTCTTTTTACCTTCCACGGTGGTTGATGCTTCACAGCATAGATCATCTCCATCATCTGAAGTGTTTGCGGTATTGCCTTGTGGATTGGAGTTTTTATTTATACTCCAACAATCCTTCTTCAAGTGACCCTTCTTTCCACAGTTGTAGCATTTTAAATTCTTCTTGCTTCTCGACTTTGATCTACCATGTTTGTGACTGCTGCTTTGGCCACGTTCTGTTGATCTCCCTCTCATCGTTGTCAACGCTTCTGCTTGTTGCAGATTTACTTTTCTATCTTCCTTGTTCTTGCACCGATTTTCTTCTTATTGAACAACAGCTGCAATGTCATCGAAGACTAGACTGGTGACATTACTGTTTGTCAAGTTGATGATGAGTTGATCATACGAATCCGGTAAACTTTGAAGTCGAAGTTCAGCACGTTCTTGTTCTCCTATTGTACATCTTAAGGATGTAAGCTGAGAAAATAACGTGTTCAGTGTGTTTAAGTGCTCCGTCACCGAAGTATATTCTGATATCCGGAGAGTATACAATTTCCTCTTAAGGAAAATTTTATTGTGCAACGATGTGACCTCGTACAATTTGGTGAGATGATCCCATATCTCCTTAGTTGTCTTCTTCTCCTCGATGCTTGACAATACTTCATCTGCTAATGCTAGATGAAAGTTTACCATAGCATTCCCGTCCATTTCGATCCATTTGTTGTCATCTGTGAAATTCACTGGCCTTTCACTGATAGCTGCTAGACAACCGTCTTTCCTCAGGATATCCTTCATCTTCAATTTCCACAATGAGAAATTTCTCCCTTTGAATTTTTCAATATCAAATTTCGTTGCCATAGCTTCTTTTACGGATAGCTCCCACTATTTCACTATCATGAATAGTTTTTTGGAACCTTCAAAGAATGGGTAATACCTTCTTACTTTCTTTTGTTGGAGGATCCACCTTTTGGTGGCAACCACAAAGACAATAAGCAGATATTACACACTCTAATCTGGCTCGGATACCAATTGTTGCGAAAGACGACTATCGGATAGAGCAAAATCGTAACTGATAATTTGAGAGAATAAAAATGAAAATAAAGAAGACACAAATTTTACGTGAAAACCCCCTAAATAATATAGGGTAAAAACCACGGGCAACGGTAGAAGAATTTCACTATGAGAAAATAGGAATTACAACTTCTCTCGATCTACCAAGGAGAAAACAATGATAATTCTCTCTTGATAAAAAGGAGAAAACAACTCTCAAGAAACTCTCTAAATTCT